TGAGTGTGGACGAGGTCTCGTATTTCACCAATAGCAGAGTGTGGATGGTGTTCCACATCTCATTAGCAGCAGAACAGGGGCGAGGCCCAAGTTAAGGAAAGAGTGAGTGTGGGTTGGGCCCGTATCTCACTATCAGTAGGAGCATGGACGGGGTTCCATGACTCATCAGTAGCAGGACAAGGGCGAGGCCCAAGATAGGCGAGGCCTCAGGACATGATTTATTAGTACATGTTAGCTTATGTGTTGTGATATGCTTATGTGTTAGTATATGCTAGCGGGAAAAGGCCCAGTGACAGGCGAGGCCTAAGTGAAACAGATCTATATCCGAGCAGGGCTCGAAGCCAGGCGAGGCCTGGAGCGGCGGGGCCGTTGTAGCGGGCGAGGCCCAGAATAGCGGGCGTGGCCCAATATGTGAAGTATGTGTTTATGCATGGTATGTGGTAGGTTGGGGGAACTCACTAAGCTTCGTGCTTACGGTTTTCAGTTTTGGTTTCAGGTACTTCCGGTAGCGGAGGGAAGAGCTCGGGGTGAACGCATGGCACACACCATAGATTAGACAGCATGGGATGTTTTACTCTGATAATGAGCATATGTTTTGAAAATTAATACTTTGAATTGTGTTATGGTTTATGATATCTTTTATGAATATGGTTTTAGAAATGATTTATAAAAAAAAATTTAGTACGGATTTTTAGGACGTTACAATATATTCAAATATTCTTCCCACTATTAATCCCGAAGGCACTCTTTAGACCTCCAAAACCAATTATAATGCTAGTTACGTACTTTTCCACTAATCATAAATCAGAATAAAATAACACTTAAAACACATTTTCTGATTTTAGGGGTTCTCTTGGAAACGAGGTGTTACAACAAACCACTAAAACGAATAGGTAAGGAAGTTATCCACCACTAGATGTCTCCAAAGAAGGGACCTTTACATACCACCATATCCTCGATAGACCCGCACAATCCTTTGTCAAAGAACAAAGCTGCCTCTTTTATGTGCACCGATTGACATGTCTTTAAACCAAAGAAAAGTTGTGCAATGCCCATACATGATCGAATCATAAGGAGCTCACTCTGCGGGTCACATAGTTATGGAAGATGTGACATCCCCATTTTCACGGCCAGAAAATACCTATTTTGTTTATGCTTTATAAAAATCAGAGTACTTATTTTAATAAAACATGTTGCGGAATTTGTACCCAGTAAAATATGATAAATTCGTTATCAAAGCATTTCTGAAGAAATGTATTTTTATTCATTTAAAAGATTGGGATGTCACCGTCAATACAGAGACATAAGCATAAACAAAACTTACATTCATCATCACTAGTGATCTATATCTCCTTAATCTCTCAGTGTAATGTGACTTCATATTTACACCTGTGATGTAAATAAACTGAGTGGGTCAGGTAGGGAAACCTGGTGAGTACATAGGGTTTTCAGCCCACAGTAATATAATTATTATGTTTAATCGTCAAACAGTTAACCCAATTACCCATCCCCATTAGCTTCTTTATTCTTAAGGATCTACCCTAAGAATCAGCTATTTCTCATTCATTCATTCCTAAGGAATAGATACAAAGTCCATCATTGTCAATGACATAGCTGTCAAACACAATTGCTAGTTCTATCATTTAGGTGCAGCTGCCATAATTGTGACATTCTATATGAGGCGCAACTGCCAGTATTGTCCTTCGAGCACAACTGCTAGGGTTATCTCGTTTATTGATAATATCATTTTTTAGAGTCCACTCGCAATACATGTCAATGGGTTTTTATAGTACACCGGTGAACATATCGTTCACAACATCTACAGGTTGCGAGCCTGCTAGTGTTCCACTAGAATGTCTAGAATAGTCTGTTGTTGTTATCCATACTCTGCTAGATGACGAGGCCAACATTTGGGAACAAGGCTTCTCACGTCGTCCACCTCTCACCCTTACCTCATGGTATATATCATTTCTCAACTCATCATCCAACTCATATTTCATCTACACATGTTTTACCCAACATGTTATGTAGATATAAATACATATAGTGGCTGTTTGTTTTTTGTGTGAAGATCTGCGCAACCACTTTTGTCTGTGCCGCGCAGACATATGCCCTCGCAGATTGTTTGTTTTTTTGGAAGTGCGCAGATCAGAAAACGTCTGCGCGGGGTCTTCCTGGCGCAGACATGGGCCACTGTCTTCAAAGGTCTTCAGACCTCATTTTAACCTAAAAAAAAAAACATGGGCCATCGTACAGTTTCTTTTTTCTTTCATTTTTTTTTTGTTAAAAATGCATTTTTAATGTTTATGACATGAAATTAAGTTTAAAAATTCAATTTTTTTAACAACCCGCAGACGTTAAAAACAAACAGTCTTTTTATTGCAGACTGCAGGCATTTGGTCCACCTCTTCTGCCGCAGAGGTTTGCAGATGTGGTCCGCAGACTGCAGACATTTTGACTTCAGAAAAACAAACAGCACCATACTGTTTAAATCATATAATACTTGTATAAAATCGTTCATCCAGCATAAATATCAAGTATATAGATAATATGCACACATAACACATAATTTATATAAAATACTTCATATCTATGTGTAAGATGAAAGGGGCCATGCACTCACCTGGTAAGGTGGTGATTCTGAACTCAGACAGTGCTTCGTTACTCTTAAAACAATTTCCTTCGACAAAACAACAAGTTTTATAGAAAACCGGGCTTTTCTTGGAGCAGCGTTCCCGAGCTAAAAATCTCTTCTTCTCGGAGCTGTCGAGCACTCCGGGGCTTCCGCCTCGTGCTAGGGAGGTTCCCTAGGCTTTTCGGGGGGTTTCAGAGCTAGAGAGAGGTTCTAAAGAGAGAGTAAAGAGAAAAACGAATGGGAAAGGTATGAAGAAAATGAGGGTGGAGAGGTTCTATTTATAGGGTGAAATATGGCTGAACTTGGTTCCAGATGTCACCATCTGGTGGCAAGACTTGGGGAGAAAGCAATGACCAAGATTATGCTACGTCACCCATTTTCGCACAACACGCTTCCGACTTCTAAAATCCGTAACTTTCACATACGAGCTCCTTTTTTATGTTCTTTATATCAACGCGTAGGTAAAAATAAAATCTACAACTTTCATTTTGACTCTGTCGGCTAATTCCCAACCGATCTTAAATTTAATAGTACAAAGAGATTATACTGTTAAATGTCCGCGTAAAATTCATAACTTCTACATACGGACTCTATTTTCTTCTGTCTTTTTACCGTTGAGATCCTATTAATGAGATCTTCAATTCTCATTTAGGCCGCGTAGGCCAAAAACCGCTCGATCTAAAATTCGAGTTTCGGGCTATGCACTGTTAACCCAAATTTTAGAAAACTCATAACTTCCTTATACGAAGTCAGATTTGGGCGTTCTTTTTTTGTATGTTCTCGTTTTAATGTATACTACAAGTTTTGTTTAGATTTATAAGGCTAAAATGTACTCCATCTTAAATTCACTATTTACGTTTCCCGGTGTCGTGTTGGTTTTGCTGTAAAACTTCGACATACCATAACTTCTTCGTTATAACTCGAATTTCGACGTTCTTTATATGTACGGAGCCCTTGAGACGTATTCTATAACTTGGTTAAGATTATTTATTCTAAATAATATTTTGTCAAAAAGTCGTTTTCGACCCCTATTATCTCTAAATTGACTAGCCTAGATGTACAGGCGTTACAGAAGAAGACCCATTAAATATACAACATTGACCGCTCTCTTCATGGCCAACCCACTAATAAGCCTCGCATCTCTGCTAACGCCCCATCCCCCCATGGAGCTTCACCCCCAAATACGGTCTCCCTATATCGGTACAAAGCTTTCTACCATCAAAGGAGGGCCAAAAAATCTCTGCTCAAGACCCAAACCTAGATCATTCACCCGAATAAAACACTTTAGCCACTTCCTCTGAATCCCTAATAACAATTCCATCATCTAGATACAAAACATGGAGAAGGAGCTTGCAATTGTTTCTAATCTTATGTACAAGTGGGTGCAAAACGAGGGCAAAAAGAAGAGGACCCAAGGGGTCGCCTTGCTGCACCCCAGTGGAAGACCATATATGTTGGTCTCCTATATAAAGTTTCGTTGCTTGCCTATATACGAAATTCACCTACAAAGAAATAGAAGGGTATATCCTCCTAACCTCATGGAGCGAGGCTGATCTATCAACCAGGTTAAAAGCATTAGAGAAATCCACTGTAAGCATTGCAAGAGACCCATCAGTGTGGCGATCACTGAACACCCTATAGGCACTGTGTAACACAACCTCAACACCCCCGGACACACCAACCCAAAACTAAAAATCATTAAGGTACTTGACCATTTCTTTACCCACACATTTCATGGCAACCTTGGAAACCAGCCGTCCCCATAGAGTGTCTACTACAATTGAACGGATTCCGTTGTCTAATTTAATCAAAGGTGTGAGAGGAGCGGATCGGATGCAACAAACTCTGCCAAAATTGACGCACATCTTCTCGCTAACCATAAATTAACCACAACAGTGATAGCACGTAGGAGATCTGTGACTATAGCAAACTCTTCTCCACAAAGAGTCTACTATTTCTTTTCGCAATATAATACAAACTCAAAGTCTGCTATTAAACATGTTAGAATTTTCCAATCTAATACAACTCATCTTATTAAACAAACATGTTAATATTAGATTGACATGATTACTATTTCTTTACGCAAATTTGACATCGTAACTAATAGGATAAACTTGGATGGACACATTTATGTTTTAATATATATAAAAAAAAAGAGATTGTCGTTTAATTAAATAAACTAAATACTTAAACAGTTGTTCAATATTACATGAAATATAAATAACATAAACTAAATACTATAACTACATATGGTTTTATATTATGTATTAAATATATTATAATTAAATGTCAATATCACATGAAATATACATAACATAAAACAAGTATATATGAAATATAATTATGTTTTCAATTTAATCCAATCGGCTTAATTAAATACATTAAATATCTCAAACTAACCTGTCTAATATGGGTTGCTCTTTGTCTACTCTACAAATTACACAAACTATATAAATAAACCACACATAAGTACATACATAATCTGGATTTCCTACTCTCTTATATCATACTCCCATGAAGCAAGTAACCAATCATGATCAAGTATTAGACTATGCAAAGAAAAAAAGACCTATCGAACAAATATGTACGTTGGGTATAAGTTGAGGGACCAAATTTGTAAAAGTATTCCATTGTATTTGTACGCGAGTATTCAAATAACTTGAATTACAGAATTCGATACAAATTCAATAAAATTGCTTGTTGATAGCTACAATGAACTTGTGTCGAATATGCTCTTGTATTACGCATTTATTCTATATGCACAATCTGCAACCCAAATGATATTTTTTCGCCTTTTTGGTTCCCAAAAACTTGTTAATCATCATTACGCAAGAATTAAGCCCTAGATTTGGTTAATGACAAAATGGTGGAAACCATAAGCTTGCAGTCTATCGGCTTTGTAAGATACGCATCCATTCCCACTTCCAAGCATTTAGCTTCATCAGATGACATTGCATGTGCTGTCAATGCCACAATCGGAATGTGCGATTCCGATTCCATTTCCGCTCTTCGAATCGCTTTCGTTGCTTCATACCCATCCATCTTCGGCATCTGGTGTTTCAAATTACATGGTTTCATTCATAACCCAAAAATTGTAAATTGTAAATTATAAATTACAAATTAGGAATAACATTCTTACCTGACAATCCATGAGAACCAAATCATAAGGTGTAGATTCAATAGATTTCTTCCCTTTCTTTTCTTCATGGATAAAAATGTCAAGAGCTTCAACTACCTGGGCCCCATCTCCCACAACCTCAACTATCGCACCCATCTGTTCAAGCATCATAGTTGCGACTCTCTGAAGAACTGGTGTATCTTCAGCCAATAAAATCCGTAACCCTTGAAGACTCTTTTTTCCATTTTTGCCCTTCTCTTCATCATGAATCTCTTCATGAACTTCGATTTTGTCTCCACCATTTGGAAAGAATGTCAATGGAGGTGTCTCGTTTATAGCGGTTTCAATTATTTGAATCAATTTTGACTTGTATAATGGTCCACTTACCATTAACAGATACCCTCGTCTTCTAAGTTCAATCTTGATTGTATTAGAAGTATCATGGTTTAGAACCCAACAGAATTTTGCCCTTTTGTTGAATTTATGTAAAAAATTGAGTTGTTCTTTCCATATGTCTGTGCTTAGGTTAAGTAGTCCAATGTCAATGACTATGAGGAAAAAGTCAACTTTTGAACTTATGTTTTGGGAAAATTTTGTGGGGTTAAAGAGTTGTTGAAGTATGTGTGTAAGTTCATTCCACTCGTTTGCTTCCCATTTGGGAACTCCAAGTTTAAGTAGCCATTGGGAAAGAATTGTTCGACCCATTGTTCCATTGAGTGCAAGCACTATCTGTGTAGTTCAAATTTTAATTATATAGAAACAAATATATACAGAGTATAAAACATAAAACAGATATACAGACACTAAAACATAATGCAAATATACAGACAATAAAGCATAAAACAGATATACAGACAGTAAAGCATAATGTAGATATACAGACAATAAAGCATAAAGATATACAGATAATAAAACATAAAACAGATATACAGATAATAAAACATAAAACAGATATACAGACAGTAAAACATAATGCATATATACAGACAATAAAACATAAAAGGGATACACGGGCAACATAGCTTAAAGTAGAAATATATGCAATAAAGCGTAAAGCATAAAGATCAAACATAATATATAAAACAGGTATACAGACAATAAAGCATAAAGATAAAAGATATTATAGATAATAAAGCATAAAACATAAATATAAAACATAAAAATAGATATACTTACAATAAATAAAACATAAAGTATATATATATATATATATATATATATATATATATATATATATATATATATATATGTAATTATAAAAGCATAAAACAAAAATATATGCAATAAAGCATAAAACATAAAGAAAATAAGGCATAAAATAGGAATTGAGTAATTGACAATAATGCTTAAAGGGTGAAGTCATTCATGTTGTTGTATACTATTTTCACACAATAAACAGTTAAAATAGAGTAAAAATAACATTAATGTTTTAAAATTATGTTAGTGAAGTGTACTATGAATTTAAGCATAAACAAAACTTGAAAACTCATAAAAAAATGGAAGAAGTTGAATTTAGTTATGTTAATATCACCTTCAAGTTAATTTCTGAAAATTTAGGTTCGTAGATTTCTCTTGGTGTATCTGAAGGAGTACTGAGTATAAGATATAGTTGCATTAGAGTCCCTGATCCGTTCTTCTTCACTACTCTTATTTCTCCACCCATTTTGTTAACCTGTTAATAACTTTCTTTTATTTATCTATTTTTTGAAAAACATATAAAATTTGAACTTGGGTTTCAAGAATTCCTTACAAGGGATCGAACTATGCATAACCCAAGACCCGTCCCACCATGCCTGAAATTATAAAACTAATTTAGAAAATGTTAATTGTTCAATATATGAGGGTAGTTTAGTCATTTACAATCTAGTTGTTGATGGATCGGCTTGTTCAAAGCTTTCAAAAACCGACTCCCATTTGCTTGGATCAATTCCTATATTATGAGAAAGGTCAAAGTACAATATTGTAATAGAAAAGAGTAAAAGTAAGATGCAATAAATTATAATAAACAAATAAATGAAATTATGTTTCTATTTCTTGCAATTTTATTAAAAAAAATCAAAATTCATACCACAACCAGTATCTTCAACTTCAAAATAAAGAATCATTGTGTTATCATTCTTTGAACATGTTTTCTCATGGAGTCCTTGTTTTTTTAACCTTTTTTGAAATGCAGACCATAAAGCTTTCTCATCAACATAAAACTTCTCATTTTCATTAAAAGACTTCAAATTCTCGCTCCATCCTCGCACAATAATATATCCTGCTGTAAATCATTTTCTTTTTTTCATATTAATCACTAAAAGCCAATTTTTATAAATTAAAAAGAATTATTTAAAATCGTGCTTACATGTTGTAAACTTGATTGAGTTGCTAATTAGATTTGCAAATATTTGAACAACTCTACCCGAGTCTCCTCGAACCACTTTCGGCATATCATCTAATGTTGTTAAACAATTAACAAACAATAAAAAAAAAAACATCATTAGACATTATTAGTGTAAGTGTGTAACCTAATTATTTAGCATTTTAGTGTTCGATTTGATATAATTAAATAATACCAGAGAGATCTATAATGGTTTCCACATTGTGATTTTTGCATTGAACAGAAAACATATCTACAAGTCCTTCAAGTTCTCGACCCAAATCAAACTCGGCTTCTTCCAACACCAATTTCCCAGATTCCACCTGTAATTCATATGTATATCAACTAATTATTCTCTTTGCTTTTACTTAAAAAACCAATTTTGAAAAAAAAAATTGAAAATAACAATGGCTTTAATACTAGAAAATAAAAATAAAAATGGTTTCTAAGGTAAATGGCCTAAAAAAACAGTGAATTTGATGTAAATAGACATTAAGGACTTTTTAATATGTTTAATCGGTCAGATTTAGACTTAGGTGCTGTTTGTTCTTTTAAAAAAACCACTTCAAATCACTTATTGCTGCGCTGCGCAACACACGTGCAGCACTTAGCTTTTTGCAGCTGTTTGTTTTTTCTGAAGACTTCTGACTTAAAAACTGCTGCGCGTGTGCTGCGTTGCGCAGTACTAAACCAACTGCTTCAAATCTCTTCGCGCCTTACTTTAACTTACTGCAGCAGTCTGCAGACGTTAAAAAACAAACATATTTTTTATTAAATGTTGCAGCCTTTTGTTCCACCTCTTCTGCTACAGAGGATTGCAGAGATGGTCCGCAGACTTAAGACATTTTCGCTTCGAAAAAACAAACAGCACCTAGACTGTTTGATACCAATTAGACTCTTCAATCAGACTTTGACTCAATCAGCAACAACCCCTTCATTATATAGCTAAAATCATGTATTTTTTTGGTATTTTACCTTACTAATATCCAAGATATTATTGAGAAGCCTAAGGAGAGCTGTTGAACATCTACGAATTTGAGTAATCGTTGCACTTTGTTCATTCGTAAGACACTCATCACACAGAAGAATGTCCAACAATCCTATGACAGCCGCCATTGGTGTTCTCAACTCATGGCTGTTTCAAAACATTCACACAAACATTAAATTTATATTTTCTTTTTTCACAAAGGGCAAGATCGTAAATTACCAACCTCATATTCGCTAAAAACTGGCTCTTAAAATTGCTCGATGCCTCTGCTTTCCTTCTTGCATCATAATGACTAATTAACTCTGCCCTTAATTTCATTTCTTTGGACACTCCATTTGTTAATATAAAAATACAAATACACCCCACAACAAGTACACAAACAGACGCCGATATTAATATCATTAATGTCTTAAATGCCCTTGCATCCACCTTCCCCATTATGTACTTCCTCGGAATACAAAGAACTCCGACCATCGGAAGTCGTGTTAAGTTCAAGAAAAAAGAATCTATGTAGTATCTCTGGTGGCCGAGTCTGGCGGCCGCCGTGTGAACTTTCCGGGTAACCGGAGGTTGTCCGCCGTAAGCTTTCTCCACCCACTTAGCTCCCGATTTTATAATCTCATCTTCGGAATCCACCGCCATCATGAGCGTGGGCCCACTCGGTGAGTTTCTCAACAATGGCGTACTAGAATTAGAAGTCGCAAGCAACCACCCTTCTTGAGACGTTAAGTAAATATGTCCGTCGTGAAGCTCCACCAGCTCCTTCATAAGCTGTCCGACGCTGTACAGCGCCGTCGTAACTCCCACCACCGCCACTATACTCCCTCCGCCCTCGTCCAACACCGGTAAAGCAGCCGATAGCAAGGGCGAACTCGTAAATTTACTCACGGAGATATGCCAAGAAGCTGCTCCGTCGGGTACCTGAGAGATTCCGGCGATGTTCATTAACTCGTCCGGCGGGATTTCCTTCTGTTTCCCGGTTTTTCTTCCGGTGTCGGGATCCAGTGGTTCTCGGTACCAGATTGCTGATATGTTCCCGTGGATTGTTTGATCGTTCCACCCTTGATGAGGTAAAGATTGGTTTACATCGTAGGGTTCAACCATGGTGTAGTTATACAGATTTGAGTATATGTAATACGTGTTTTTGTCTCTAAGATCTCGATGGAAAGCTTGAACGAATCCGTTTCTGTATTTTATCGACATGGAATTCAAAGCTTTGTGGCTTGCAAATAGGGCCCACGTTACGTCTCTCATAACTTCATACAACTGATGATATAGATTAAGAAATAATAAACATTAGCATATAACTATATATACAACGAAAATAAGTAAGTAACTGAAGTTTTTTAGGGTTATGAACATAGTAGATCGATATAAGTATAACCTCTACTTGTTGTGCTTGGTTTTCAGCTTTGCTATATTTTCTTATGACGTATTCAGAAAGCTTGACTTGGGATGTTGTTATTTCAACTGTTGAGTTCAAGATTTTCCACATACGTAACATGGGACGTTGTAAAAGTTCATATCGAAGGCCAAATGCTAAAGCGTTTAATGATGTTCTTGTGTAAACTTTGGTGAAATGCCACGTGAGGAGTGTTAATAGACCTATAAGAATCGCTAGCATCGCCTTCATTATGTTAATGAAAAAACACAAGAAAACATTAGCAGAAACGAGGATTTTTCTTTAAGGAAAATGATGGTTTAGTTTTGTTGATTACCATGATGGCAAGGCGCGCTACACAGACACTGTAGCATCGGATTTTTTCTTGATTGATGTTGCCACGTGGACTTGTTCTGCCAGATGAGTGGTTTATTCTCGAAGAAGTTAAGGTTGTAGAAATTTTGTTGAAAATTCGTCTTGGGGCTGATGCCATTTGTGTGGTTTGATCGAAGTGATGAATGTTGTTGGGATAGTGTTCTTTATGTGTCTTGTGTTATTCTTTGAAAATGATTTTTTTTTTTTAAAAAAAAAACCTTTCTGATATGGGGTCAACTACACTTAACACGCCCCTTGTGTAGCCATCCAGTTAATTAAATCGTACGCATGGACATGAGTGGGGTGATGTGGATTGTGCACACGAGGTTCTTAGACATCGGTCTTTCAAAAAATACTTGCAATGCTACTAATCAAAACTTATTGCACCAAGGACTTTGCCTTTCAATATATGAAAGACTTGCAAATGTCATTATATTAATTTTTTAATCAAAGCAATCCTATTTAAATATTAACAACCTATATATATATATATATATATATATATATATATATATATATATATATATATATATATATATATATATATATATGATTTTAGAAAGAATATACGGACACACTTTAGGTCACAATTATTTTGTTGATGCTGTATTTGGAAGGCACCATCCAGTATTTTAAGCGAATAGTGGCAGCATGTGGTTTTCTTTTGAGTCACTTATTAGTCATATTGCCTTTGGGCATGTCTTTGGCGCTTCTAGCGTATGTTTTGATAATTTAATATTTTATATGCCTTGTCAATATGATGCTAGAAGAATAGAAATGTAATTTTAGTCGTCTCCGTCATAAATTGAATAATTGATATACCGAAGAAATAAAGATTTTATTTTTAAAAAAAATTAATAAAAAATTGAATAAAAATGTATCAACGAATGGAATTATAGCGACTCTTGACTAACAAGGTTCATAATTGGTCATATTGTCTTTAACTGGAACAAGAATAAACTAGTGCACGATTATTTTCCTTTGAAGACTCATGTTTTGAACACCATCGAATCTATAGGAAGGTACGATTTTATCTTTAATGTACAAATTATTATCATATAATTATTTTGAAAGTAAAAGTGTTACTTTTTTGCTATTAAATTATATGGTTTTGATGCAATTATTTGTCCTTGAAGCGATTTCTTGGTGAAACTGAAACCTAATTAAAGGGTAATGGAGATCATCAAGAATCTTGGTAGGATTAGTGATTCTACCACTTAGTATTTTTATATTAAGAGAGGTTTATCTCTATACGAAATCCATTTGATGTTGATTAAATCTCCAATTTTATAAACCCCATTTGATTTGTTTGATGCTTATAATTGGTTCTAGAGATACGCTTACGTCAAAAATCTACTTAGCAAATATGTGTAGTATAAAACGTGGCTTGAATCGCACAAAAACTGGTTTGAATTAATTGTATTGTGGTTTTAGGGGTGAGCAAAAACGAACCGCAAACCAAAAAAACCGAAAAAACCGCATAAACCGAAACAAAAAACCGAAACCGAAATGAAAACCGATGGTGCGGTTTTTAGTTTTGCAAAAACCGAAAATACTCGGTGCGGTGCGGTTTCTAGTCTCGCAAAAAACCGAACCGCACCGCATATATATATATATATATATATATATATATATATATATATATGGAAAGTGAATATACCCTTAAGGGTATATAAGCTTAGGTACCCAAACTCCCCATATTACATCGTTTTGTATCATATATATCCATTGTAATTGTCTAATGTTCTTATAATTCAACTTCTAACTTGATTTCATTCAATGATTTTTATAAATTTCACATTTATTTTCCTCTTACATAATTTTCATTTTCAACTATAATATATATAGCCTAATTGATGTTCGTCAAAAAGATGTGATGTAAGAGGAAGATAATAATGAAATCTTGAAAATCTTGAAAGTAAATCAAGTTAAGGATTAAAGTTGAAGAACATTATAATAAATATATCAAATAAAATGACGTATTATGATGAGTTTGGGTACCTAAGCTTATATACACTTAAGGGTATATTCACTTTTCCCATATATATATATATATATATATATATATATATATATATATATATATATATATATATATATATATATATATATATTAAGTGTTGATATTTATAAGAACCAAGAACTTATGACAATTAAAATTTTTATAAATATAAATATCTATCTTATCTATCAGATGATGATTCTATATTTTTAAACATACAGTCAGTGATATTTACAATACAAAATAATGTTTATGATATTTTTTAACATTTAAATGTGAAAAGTACTAGTGATGATAGTATCATTTTTATGAATACATTAATATTATTGCATGTACATGTGAAACAAATATTATATTAAATTCGTATTATGTTCAACCATTAGAAACATGTTGGATGAATGGTTATGTAATTTGATTTCAAACCAAGAGGTAGTGATATCGGTTCATCTCCAAAAAATGATTAGCACTCCTCATCTAAGTTAAAGTAACTCGCCGAGTTACTTGAGTTTTAGTAAAAAGACCAAATCAAAAAAAAAAAAAAAAAAAGAACCGCATAAAAACCGAACAGTACGGTTTCTAAATTTCAAAAAACCAAAGTTGCGGTTTTCGGTTTGGTTTTGGCTGAAAACCGTACCGAACCGCACCATGCTCACCCCTAGTAGTTTAAAGTTATATTTATATGACAAAATTGCAAATATGGTCCGTGTGGTATATATATATATATATATATATATATATATATATATATATATATATATATATATATATATATATATATATATATATATATATATATTTTTTCCGGATTTTGATCAAAAACTAAATTTTGTTGGTTCATGGTCATTTTAACTATGTTTTTATATGGTTTTGGTCCCTCCAAAAATTAGAATTACTGTAATATTCTTATGCATTTTTTTTTCATTTTTATCTATTTAATAATTAAAAAATAATTAAGGGCTTACCTCTCTCTTTCACTCTCTCTCTCTCCACACACACACACACACAAATTCCTTGTCGACGACACAACACAGACACCGCTCCTCTCTTTAGCATTACCACAACCTTTTTAAACTTTCTTCTACGCCATCAAGATGCTTATCTTCTTCACAAGTTCAAACAGATAGGAGATGATGACGTGTGAAGCAATAAACGATAGTGGTAAGGGATTAACGAATGTAGAGGTTCTCATCCTTACTGGCTACACAACACAAACAAAACATTATGGAGGTGGAGGTCCTCATGCCTACCACGGCTCTCCGGTAACTCCTACTTCCATCATCAATGCATCCGCTTTTTGATTTTTTCCCCTTTGGGAAACTCCTTAATCCATCATCAATGCCTATAGGGTTTTCTATGATTAGAGTTTTGTGATGTTTAGCTTGAAATAGAGAGATTACAAAAACTTGGATTGATCTTGAATTTCTGGTACCAAAGCTCGCTTCGGTAATGATCAGAACATATATGACCTAAACTTCAAAACTTTGGGACCACCAGTTCAAATGTTGACACCAAATCCTATCCCCAAAAATTAGCGATTTGTAGGTTTCAACAAAAGAAGGATAACGGGATCAGGGTTTATCATGCGATGATGGTAATGGAGGATGTTTTTGAGGTCTCTAATAACAATACTTAGTGCAACTACCATCTTCATTAATGTTGGAACCTGAAAGTGAACCTCTAGCAATCCTAAGCTCTAATTCTGAAGTGAAGATGTTCCAAAACAAAGAATGGTCTGAAGTCAAAATGTGAAGAGTGGTCTGGAATCTGTCCGGACCAGAAGAGAAGAAGATGAGAAGCTGAAGTAAGGGCATTCCGGAATGATCCTCATGTCCGGAATGGGTGCTGATTCGGAGTCACTATATTTTGTCTTTATGCATTTATTAAAGTTTGTCTTTGTATTGATATGACATTTCATAGGACTTAGTCTTTTGTATTATTAGAAAATCAGAATGTCAGAAACATTTCTATTGTCCGGTCCTATGTAAGCATCCTATTTCATTCAATGTAACTTTTACTCCTATTTATAAGAGCTTTCAATGCAAAGTCAAAGACGAATCTTTCATTCAATTTTAGTGTTTTTACTAAGTTTCTTTATCTCTCTCAAAAACATTCTTATTGTTCTTCATTTAATATATTTACATTGATCATTATCTTCTGTATTCATTTATATCTTGAATACTTTGTTTGAAGTACTTATTAAGACTTGACTGGTCTTGCCATACTTGACTGGAACACTTATTAGTAAGCAGACCTTGATCTTAAGCATTCATTCAAGGTTTGAGTTTTCAAACCTTGTCCCTGCGCATCAGATCATCCTTGTTCTCACAATTGGTATCAGAGATTGAGTGGTTGTCCTTTGAATCCACAAGATCAGATTATCATTGATTTGAAATTACCTTGGTATTTCAATCATTTATGTGTTCAGTATAAAAGTTCTTCTATATACCACTTTTGCTCAAGATATCTTAACTTCAATGGTTGCTTCTAATCCTCAACAAATGTATTCAATGCAAATAGCAAAGAGCACGGGTTGCCCTACTCGTGCCCCATTGCTAGTTGTTGAAGAATATGATCACTGGAAAGTAAGAATGGAGAGATTTTAACTTGGAAAATAAAAAGTTGAATCTATCTGGAGATCCGTCAAAGAAGGTCCTCATGTTCCAGTTCGAACAAATATAAGAGATGTTATTGCTCAGCTCATGGGTCAAGATGAAACTCGTCCAGCTCCTCTAACAGCTGATGATCTTGAGAAGTTCCATGCTGATCAAGTTACCTTCTCTGAAATGGTGTTTGGTGTTCCTCCTTCTCTTTTCGAGCACATCAAACTATGCAAGTGTGCTAAAGACATCTGGGACACACTCCAAGATCTATTTGAAGGGTAAGAGAATATGAAGGACAAATGGTTGACTTCGGTTGTTAATGAGTTCGACACATTCACTACCATTCCCATTGAATATGTTGCCTCAGCTTCAAACAGATACCGAATCGTTGTCAACAACATGACAGCTCATGGAATAGTCTGAACTCCTCTTGAGTACAACCTCAAGTTCATCAACAGCCTCGAAAAGGGATTCGGTAATGTGAAGTCTTGTCTTCGGAGTAATGGATCTATAAAAAAGCTTAAGCTCTATAAACTTTTTGATGAGCTTCAGGGTCATGAATCAAATGTTGCTCAAACTCTATGAGAACTCTCCGGAGATCACCTTGCCTTAGTCAGCTCCTATGACCATCATCAGACCTCCAAACCAGGCTCTTCTAACCTTCTCACTAC